CTGGGCGGATCCCAGGGCTGCCCGGCCCAGGCTCTCCGCTGACCACAAGCAGCCAGGCCCTTCCTCGTAGGGTTCCTGTGTGAAACGGTCCCTCCAGCACAGCTGAGCCGTTCCCAGGCGGCCTCCCACCCCCGCCCCTGCCGACCGGCCTGCATTGCAAACAGGGAAGGGTCACGATCCTCGTTCTACAGAGCAGAGAAACTGAGGCAGGAAAAGCCCAAAGCCAACGCTTTCCCTGACCTTGGGTGCCCACGTGAAGGCCTCCTCCAAGGGACCTGACTCAGAGGGGTGGGCCCCACAAACCCATCTCTGGCCAGGGTGATCAGAGGTGCTCCAACCTGTGGAGATCAGGGCCCCAGGCTGCACTCCCAGGCCCGAGCCCCCCCCCCCCACACCCCCCCCCACACCACCCAACCCTCTGCCCTCCAGCCTACTCAGATCCTGCCACACCCCTGTGACGCAGCGGGGGTCGGAGTCGCCCGGTCTGCTTTGTTCTGTGGCACGTGATTGCTGCTGTCCTGTGGTACCCCGGGCCGTGCCTCGGTTTACCTGGGCACTGCATTACTATCTAGCTAGGGATGGGGGATTCCGGGACTCACTGAGGAGGTGTGTGCAGCCCGTAAGGAACCTGCACCTGGAAGGAAGGTGTGACCACGAGATACCTTTGGCCGGGGACAAAGGAAGAGGAGGGGCTGCAGGGACTTAGCTGGGCTACTGGGTGTGGGGGAGTCTGGCTGGCTTGGGGAAGAGAGAGGGTTAGCTGCCCCCCAGTCTAAGAGCCGCTGACGGATCAGCCCTCCAGGAACTTCTTTTGTCACCCAGTTAGTTTGACCTTGACGGCCCCGCGCCGGGAGCAGTTCCCCAGGCTGGCTGTGCCGCGCATGCAGCAGCACTTCCGTGAGTTTGCTTTCAACCAGCTGCCTGTTACGGTCACTGGGTGATCCCGAGGTCTCACGTTCTGGGAAGGGTAAATAACACGCCCCGAGTCACTTTCTCCACACCTGCCTCGGTCTCCTGGCCCTCCGGCCGCCCCGCCCCGCCCCCCCCTGCCCTCTCGCTCCTACGCCGGGAGCCCCTGCGCTCTCGTTTTCCCGCGGGTGGCGCTGATCCCTGGCCCTTCACTGCGCTTGTCCCACTTCTAATCTCCTGCTGGGGGGGCGACAGAGCTGCGTGCCGTGCCCCAGGTGTGGATGCTCCTGGCTGCCTACACAGTGGCACGGGGCAATTCAGACCGCCTGCTGGGACTGCGGCTGCACCTCGAGCAGCTGTTCTCAGGGAGTGAGCCACAAGGACTCCCCGGGGTGCAGGGAGCAGGGGCACCCGGGCGCACAGCTCCGGCAGAGCCAGCGGGGAGCCGGGTTGCGGTACCTGTAAGAAACTAAGTTACTTTCCCTGCCGACCCATCATCCGCTTTTTGCCATGGGAGTGTATCAGAATAGACTTTGATGGACCTCAGTTTCAAATGCTGACAGGATCGGCCGCTCTGTTGCCAAGAGACGCGGCGCTCGATAGCAGCTTTTATTGCTCTTCAAGACACAACAGACGCACGTCCCGTAAGAGGCCCCCGCTCCCTGCCCAGCTCTCCCTGGTAGCCCAGGACCCACAACACTGCCAGCCTGGTGCTGCCCAGTCGCCCCGCTGGAGCGCTGCGCTCTCTGCCTGGGACTGACCTGCCCGGGGCAATCCTGTAACCTCTGCCGACTGCCCCCTGGCTGGCCAGCCTTGGCCACGGCCGCGTGACAGGGCAGGGCTGGATCAACGCCCCAGAAGTCATCCCTCCAGGCCGGAGGCCAGGCCCTGCTCAGGGCTGCGGGCCGCACCCCCCGCTCCCCCAGGGCTCTCAGCCCACAGCCCGTCTGCAACACTCCTGAGGCCGAGAACCCCCACCGCAGCCCCATGGATAAGGAGGCAGAGCTGAGAGGGCTGGTGGGGCTTGGGGTAGGGTGGGGAGGGGAGAGGAGTCTGGCTGAGATGCACCCTCTGTCCCAGCTGAGTTTCTGCCCCGTGACCCATCCTCCATGAATGACCCCATCCTCCATGCCCCCTTTGTCGCCACCCTGAACCTTTCCCCACTGGCCCCTGTTATGCCCTCCTGCCAGCCAGCTCCCCCGTCACTTCACCCCCCCTTTTCAAAAGTAAATCGTTCCTTTAACAGGCCTGCCAGGCTCCGGCATCCCTCCTCCTGCCCCTAAGCATGTTGTAACCCGCACCACAGCCCTTCCGTCTGTTGCACTGCGCATTACGCCACCACAGACTGTCCTCGGGCCCCGCGCGCTCCAGCCGTGCATCCCAAGCCCATCCCATCGACGGGGAAACTGAGGCACGGGGCAGGCGTGTGACCAGCCCAAGCTCAGCCGGCCGGTGAGCAGCAGATCCGGGTAGAGAACCCAGGGGTCCCAGGCATGGGGCCATGCGGCCTCCCACGACAGGGGAGCAAACAGCTGTGGGGTGGCTGAGCCGTGAACGCCGGGCCGGCCCCGTGCACGCAGAACCGGGGTGGGACGCGGGGGAGCTGGGAGGGACCCAAGTCACCCAGGTCTGGCCCTGCACCTGGGGAACCCCGAGGGAGGGGAGGGAGCTCTGGGGCAGCAGGCAGGGGCTTACCAGCTGGGAAGGCGTTGGGCTGCACCAGCGCCAGGAAGGAGTGCACCATGCTGGAGAGGCCGGGCAGGCTGCCTGCGGAGGGCACCGGC